TTCCTGCAGGAAATGACCCCTGCTTGTGAGCAAAAATTCTACTTTGTGATCTGCTGGCATTAAAGTTGTGAGCGAGCGATTTGGTTACTGCATAAGCCATCCTTCCTGAGCTAAGACAAAACTGTGTGAGCCGGAGGCTAAAATACTGTGAGCTAGCTCACACTAACTCAGCTTAGAGGGAACACTGCATGGGAGGGGCCGTTGCTCAGTGGTAGGACATCTGCTCAGCACGCAAAGAGCCCCAGGTTCAATCCCTGGCGTTTCCAGTTAAAAGGCTCAGGTAGAAGTTAATGATGTACAAGATCTCTTTGCATAGAACCTTGGAGAGCCGCTGCCAGTCTGAATAGACAATACCGAACCAGATGGACTGATGGTCTGGTTCCGTGTTAGGCAACTTCATGCGTTCATGACATTAACCTGATTTGAATGGCTGAGCAGGGTAAGTGGTTCGAGAGAGAGGCTGCTTCGGGACAGATAGCCTCTATTGACGCCTCGCCTGCAGCCTAGACCAACTGGAGTTCTCTTCAGGTATGACAAAGTAAACACAAAATAATCGTGTCCAGTCTTTGGGGTGTGGGGTGCCACCAGTCAAGTCCAAATTCTGAGCTCTCTAATCTGCAAAACCAGCAGAGGATGTACATCGCCCTGGAGAAGCCCACAGGAGTGTAAGATCTGTTGTGGCATAACAGCCAGGCCCGTGGATCAGCTCCCAATGCTGTCCAGAAGGGCCACAAAATCCAAAGGAAAAACAGAGCGATTAATAACAAAAAACCTAATATTTTTGTCTTACTAATGGGGGAACTGGCATAAAAAAGATTCAGGTGGGTCGCCGTGTTGTTCTGAAGCAGCAGAACGACATTTGGGTCTAGTGGTACCTTTAAGACCAACAATGTTTTATTCTGAGCACAAGCTTTTGTGCGCATGCACACTTCCCCAGATCTGTGGTATATGAAGACGTGTGCCTGCACATCCAGAATAAAACGTTGTTGGTCTTAAAGGTGCCCCCACTGGACTCACACTTTGTACTGGTATTTAAAAAATGTGCTGTTGAGCTCATAGTGACCCCCAGGGGTCATTTCCTGCAGGAGCACACAGGAGCGGAGCTCCGGAAGTAAAGAGCCCAGGGGGCGGGCACATGACACAAGCCCCACCCCCTGATCCCAGCAGCCCTCAGTCAGAGCAAGAAGCAGCCAGGTAAGCTGCAGAGCCCCCCCCCCGGTCCCCCAGTCCAAAACAGTCCAGTGGCTCCTTTAAGACCAAGTTTTATTCAGGTACAAGCTCTCCCTCCTCTGTAAGGACAGATTTGCACATTTCCCCCCCCCCGCAATAGCTAGCAATCCAAAGCAGTCCAGTGGAGCCTGAGCGGTGGGTGTTGCCTACTGACACACTTCCGGTGATGTCAGGGGGTGTGGCATATGCAAATAAGTTATGCTAATGAGTTATGCCAATGAGCCCCTGCACCTCTTTTTCTACGAAATGACCCCTGCTGACCCCAACCAGAGGGTATTTTAGGCAAGAGATGCTCAGGAGTGGCTTGCCATCGTCTCCCTCAGCAGAGCACCCCAGTCTTGCTCGGTGGTCTCCCGTCCAATTCCTGACCTTGGCTGAACCTGCTTAAGCTCCTAAGTTCTGACAAGATCAGGCTAGCCTGGGCTATTCAGCCTGCTTTATAACATAACCCTTTTCATTACTATTAGGCTTGCCAGGTCGGGGTTGGAAAATACCTGGAGATGTTGGGGATGGAGCCGGGAGAGGGCAGGGTTTGGGGAGGGGAGGGGCCTCAGCATGGTACAATGCCATAGAGTCCACCCTTCAGCGGAGCCATTTTCTCCAGGGGAGCTGATCTCTGTCAGCTGGAGACCAGTTGTAAAAGCGGGAGATCTTCAGGCCCCACCTGGAGGCTGGCAACCCTAATTACCAGAGTCACATTCAGCATGCAGGGTTGTTGTCTCTACTTGCTGCTGTAGGCCCTTAGTCAGCCCTAGGCTTGCCAAGTCCCTCCGGGGGGCAGGGAAACCCCCGCCCCAGAGGCCCGTTATCCACCGCCAGTGGATCGGGCCCCGGGGGGAACCCCAACCCCAATGCATGCAACGTGCACGTCACGCGGAGGTGACGCAATCGCGTCAGGCGCGTTGGGGGCAGGGCCACGGTCATCTGAGGGAAAACTCTATTTCTAAGCTCCAGTGCCGAGTCAGACTTGGCAACCCTAGTCAGCCCTTGGGTATCTGGAGTGAGGACAAGGCCTTGCAGGTCAGGTGGCAACCCCAGTCTTCCTTGGGAGTTGTGAGATCCCTGGCCTCCCTCCTGATGAGACCCCTCAGTCTGCTCCCCAACCCCTCTTAGCTGTTTTGAAGAGCAGCCCCTCAAAAGCCTAAGTGTAGCAATGGCCACAGGAATAAACCGATTTAAAGGGGGATTCAATAGATTCATGGAAGATCAGTCTATCAATGGCTCCTAGCCATGGTGACCGAGGGGAACCTCCACATTCAGAGGCACTAAAACTCTGAATCCCAGAGCCAGGAGGCAACCTCAGGCCTCGGCCTCTTATGCCCTGTTGTTGGCTGTCCAGAGGAACTGGTTGGCCTCTGTGAGAGACAGGATGCTGGACTAGATGGACCACTGCTCTGATCCAGCAGGACTCTTCTTATGTTCTTCTGGTCTTAAGATACTTCTCCTCTCTCCTTGATATTATGCCACCTCAAACTTCTGCTCATGGACTTTCCACAACTCACAGCCTCTCACCCACCTTGGATAAGGTAGTATTGTCCACCTGGAAATCCCTCCTTCCCTCTTCTTGTCTATCCCTCATCCTTATACCATCTCTCTCTCTCTGTGTATTTCAGGATGAAAAGGGTTTAGCATGGATTATTGTGATTTATTGCGTTTCACTTACAGTTTACTTGCGGTTCTAAGGTTGTAGGTGTAGTAATGTGGTTGACTGTTAATGAATAACGACTCCACTTATTTCAAATCAGTTGGTCTCAGAATATGGCTCTGGGATAAAAACTCCATCTCCCTTGCTTACCCTTCTGGTGAAGACCCCTTTTCACAGGTCATTTCCCTTCATCTGGGCCCAGTTTGGATAACAGTTTGGGTCCCAGGGGTCTCCTATCCAAACACTAATCCTCGCCCTGACCCTGCTTAGCATGTTTCTATTCCCACTTATTTATTTATTTTTGATGTATTTATTCCTATTTTATTTAATTGTTTGTAGTAAGCAGTATTCTCTCTAAGCTGAGTTAGTGTGAGCTAGCTCACAGTTTTTTAGCCTCTGGCTCACGCAGTTTTGTCTTAGCTTAGGAAGGATGGCTCCAGAGCGAACTGATCCATCCAGGAGCCAAACTGCTCCCTCGCAACTTGAATGCCAGCAGCTCACAAAGCAGAATTTTTGGTCACAAGACTCCACAGCTGAGAGGGAGCATTGGCTGTAAGTATTCTACTTATTGCATTGTTCTTAACAGCATAACCTACCTTAAGACTTAAGGAAGACAGACTATAAATGGAGTAAACAGCAAATTAACATTTAAGAAGCAAAAATGGGGTGACAGTGGGGGACGGAAAGACAAATGCAATCCAGCCACTTCCAGAATGCTCAGGAAGAAGAAGAAGGAGAAGGAGGAGGAGAAGAAGAGGAGGAGGAGGAGGAGGAGATTGGATTTATACCCCACCCTTCACTACCCAAAAGAGTCTCAGAGTGGCTTACAATCTCCTGTCCCTTCCCCTCCCCACAACAGACACCCTATGAGGAAGGTGGGGCTGAGAGAGCTCTTTCAAGAACTGCTCCTTCCAGAACAGCTCTGAGAGAACAGCGACTGACTCAAGGTGCATGTGGAGGAGTAGGGAACCAAACCTGCTTCTTCCAGATCAGAGTCCATGCTCCTAACCACTGCACCAAACATACCTGACCACCTGACCCCAGTGTTCTGGAGCACTGGCATATCCCAAGGGTCCACTTCATCCTTGGGTTCTTGATCAGCGATCAAGGCAATTGTGGAGTAGGCAGGCAGAAGTTCCATCTGATTCCCTAGGGAAACTGCTTCACCTGAGGAGCAAAATCAAATGTTTACAATTACAGTATCGGTCCTCATGTGTAATGGTATGAAGACAGTTTAGAAGTTGAACAGTCCAACTAAAATGAAGCACTTTCAAGTGCTGGTGACATCCCCGTATTGCTCTTCCTTTGGATTATCGGAGGTAAAACCAGGGGTCATTTCCTGCAGGAGTGCACAGGAGCTCCGGCAGTAAAGAGCCCAAGGGGTGGGCACATGCAACAAGCCCCACCCCCTGCTCCCAGCAGCCCTCAGTTGGGCCATGGGGAGCAAGAAGCAGCCAGGTAAATTGCAAAGCCCCCCCCACCCCCCCAATCCAAAACAGTCCAGTGGCACCTTTAAGACGAAGTTTTATTCAAGTACAAGCTCTCCCTCCTCTGCAAGGACAGAGCTGCACATCCCCCCCCCAATAGCTAGCAATGCAAAACAGTCCAGTGGCACCTTTAAGACGAAGTTTTATTCAGGTACAAGCTCTCCCTCCTCTGCGAGGACAGATCTGCACGTTCCCCCGCCCCGCCCCCAATAGCTAGCAATCCAAAACAGTCCAGTGGAGCCTGAGCGGTGGGTGTTGCCTTCTGACACACTTCTGGTGATGTCAGGGGGTGTGGCATATGCTAATAAGTTATGCTAATAAGTTATGCTAATAAGTTATGCTAATAAGTTATGCTAATAAGTTATGCTAATAAGTTATGCTAATAAGTTATGCTAATAAGTTATGCTAATAAGTTATGCTAATAAGTTATGCTAATAAGTTATGCTAATAAGTTATGCTAATAAGTTATGCTAATAAGTTATGCTAATAAGTTATGCTAATAAGTTATGCTAATAAGTTATGCTAATAAGTTATGCTAATAAGTTATGCTAATAAGTTATGCTAATAAGTTATGCTAATAAGTTATGCTAATAAGTTATGCTAATAAGTTATGCTAATAAGTTATGCTAATAAGTTATGCTAATAAGTTATGCTAATAAGTTATGCTAATAAGTTATGCTAATAAGTTATGCTAATAAGTTATGCTAATAAGTTATGCTAATGAGCTCCTGCACCTCTTTTTCTATGAAATGACCCCTGGGTAAAACAGTGTTACCCTGGCTGGATCGGCCACAGCGCACAGAGGAGCAAGGATTGTTGTCGTTGTTTTACCTTTCGGATTTTCCTCCTCCTTGGGGGGCATAATTTGTTCTTGTTTGGAACAGGGCTTTCCGATATATTTATTGCCCTCCTCTAGTTCAGGCCATGGAGCCATCCTCTGAAATGAAAAAAAGAGAGGGGAGGGTTTGGGAAAGGGTCAACAAAAAGAGCCTTATGAAGTATTTCCATGCACAGTAGGAAGAGAGCTAAGTAAATAAAACAGAGGGGATAATCCCCGTGAATGAATGCATTTTCTGTAAGCATCTTTGGGACTTATTGCCAAAGAAGTATTTTCATGCAAAAACTTCCCCCCTCCCATCATTTAAAATACTAGCCTGAGAAAGGATTAATGTAGAAGGTGATCTTAATGATACTGGGAGAGACAGTCCATCATCATCATCAATAATAATAACATAACAACGATCACAAACTCATGACATATCAACAGATTTTGCCTGAATATGATTGATAACTTGCAACACACGGGCCATCTTTCATCAGAAAAATTATCATTCAAAAGAGATGTGTTATCACTAAATAAACTTCATTCGATTTACATATCCATTCTTGCATTTTTTTTTGATCTCCTTTGACTTTCAGTACCTTGCCTACACCGATCTTGCTGCCATAATCAAATTTACGAAGATAAATGGTAAATAATTCAGAATTAAAGGAACATTGTTTCAAAGTTTCAGGTCTTTGGGGGATTATACTATCTAGACAGTAACTTAACAAAATGATGACCTTTCCCCAATACTAGCTACCATGGGGCCAATGGGGCCTGGCCCCCTGGCATTTCTTCTGGGCCCCCTCCCTCCCGGTCTGCCCGCAAAGTGCTCCAACTTACCACTTGCACTGTGCTTTCATTTAATTAGCTGGTGGGCCCCCCGAGGCCCCCTCCCCAAAAATCCCCTGGCTACGGGGCTACTGCTCTGGGACAAAGCTACCGCATGAAATCCGCTGTTCTGGCATCGCAATACTAATAGTCCCCAGAACAAGAACTGTATATCTTGATAATCAGTTGTGGTGTCACGTACAACTGGTGGATCATTTTATACATATTTTTCTTTAAAGTTCAAAAGGATAGAAAATGAGGAGCCTCAAGATACCGAGAGTTTCCAAACATCTGCTACATCAGATCCTAAAGCTTGGTCCCATTTCTGAGTAAATTTAAAAGGTTCAATCAATAAAGCACTAATAATCATACCATAAAGTTTTTTTTCCGGGGGGGGGATGCTTTTAAACCTGCATCAGTAAACTTTCAAAGCCATTAATTTGCCTTAGTCCTGTTCTTCCTGCAAGACGTTTTATCTATTCATTTATTTTATTAGACTTCTAGTCGGACCTCCCCTACACCGCAAGGCTTAGGGCGGGTAAACAACAAGTTAAAAACAACATCATAATTAATTATTAAATCAATTCAGCATAATAGCAGTCAAAGATAAAAATCAGATAGCGACAATTTATCCAGGTGAGGCTGTGTGAGCTGTGTGTTTGCAAAGAGCTGGGACGCAGAGCAATGAAAGGAGGCTGGGGGAGGCCAAATTATGGTAGGTGAAAACTTCGCTGCTTCAACTGTATGCCTGTTGGAACATTTCTGTTTTACAGGCCCTGTGGAACCGTATCGGGTTCTGCATGGCCTGGATCTCACCTGGAAGAGCTTTCCACCAGGCTGGGGCCAGAACCAAGAAGGCTCTCGCCCGGGTTGAGGCAAGATGAATACTTTTGGAGCCAGGGACCAACAGAAGGTTGTTGTTCATAGAGCGCAATGCTCTCTGGGGGGCGTACCAGGAGAGGCAGTCCCAAAGATACGTTGGTCCCAGACAGGGGTCATTTCGTAGAAAAAGAGGTGCAGGACCTCATTAGCATAGCTCATTAGCATAATTTATTTGCATATGCCACACCCCATGACATCACCAGAAGCGTGTCAGAAGGCAACACCCACCGCTCAGGCTCCACTGGACTGTTTTGGATTGCTAGCTATTGAGGGAGGGGGGAGGAATGTGCAGATCTGTCCTGGCAGAGGAGGGAGAGCTTGTACCTGAATAAAACTTGGTCTTAAAGGTGCCACTGGACTGTCTTGGACCGGGGTGGGGGGGGCCTCTGCAACTTACCTGGCTGCTTCTTGCTCTGACTGAGGGCTGCTGGGAGCAGGGGGTGGGGATTGTTGCATGTGCCCGCCCCCCGGGCTCTTTACTGCTGGAATTCCGCTCCTGCGAGGACAGAGCTGCACGTCCCCCCCCAATAGCTAGTAATCCAAAACAGTCCAGTGGAGCCTGAGCAGTGGGTGTTGCCTTCTGATACACTTCTGGTGATGTCAGGGGGTGTGGCATACGCAAATAAGTTATGCTAATGAGTTATGCTAATGAGCTCCTGCATCTCTTTTTCTATGAAATGTCCCCTGGACAAACCATTTACAAGGAAGCTTCGGATCTGAAAGTATTCCAACCATGATATTTGAACAGCGCTGTTTCTACACATACTATCAAATTGGAGTATATTGTGCTGCTTTATCAAAATCTTATACCGATCCAAATTAAATTTTTCCTACTTATGCAAAGATGCTAACTGAAATTTTTAGTGCTTATCTTAGCTCCTCACTGCAGAAGATAGAGGTGATATATCTGGAGGGAAAAAAAGATTCCAAGTGGCATTTAAACAGCATTTTGCTCCATTACTAATTATGAAAAATTACTGTCCAAAGTCAACCATCCACTGACTAATCCATACTAACTGAGCCATGTCAAGATACGCTCATGTCATGATACACTGGCTCCGGTCACATGGGCAGGAAACTGCGGGGGGGGGAGCGTGGCTGTTTGCCCCGGGGCAAACTAACGCGCGGTTAAGCGATCAGACCTCCTGTGGAGGTTCTGTGGAGGTACCGTGGAGGTTCCGTGGGTAGGGAGAGGTGCCGATCACAGGACACGCCTGCGCGCAATGAAGAAGCGTGCGGTGCGGCAAACTGCTTTTCTTTTTTTGTGTACACGACAAATGTGCATGCTCCGTTGGGTGCGTGTGCGCATCCACGGAGACTTGGGGGGGGAACCTTTTTCGCAAGGGGACATGGGTGGGCGCTGAATGCCACCGGAAACGAGATCAGACGCCCACCCTTGCCCCGCAGTTTCTGGAAACTAGTACCTCCGAGGTACTATTTTTTTGCTGCGTGCTTTCGGCGGGAAGCCTCGGTTGTGCCACGGAAGCACTACGCTTCCCAGATGTGCCGGTGAGATCGCGCCCGGAAACTCCGCCTGTCTTCCGTCTCTCTTGCGTGGCTAATGTTTCGTGAGACCGCAGCCACTGTAATATTTGCAATGCTTAGACTTCTTGAGATCCACTTTGATTGAGCTACAGACCAAGTTACTTCAGGGGTTTTTTAAAATCTCCAGAAGAATTGGTAAAATAAACCCTGCCATTCTCATAGAGAGTCTTATCACAGATAACGAAGGGAATGTTCAAAAGCAAGTAAGTAAGTTTAAGTATTAACATCATCTTGAAGCATTATTGCATCCCAAGGTAGATAATTCTTTTTGTTTAATGTCAAACATTACTGGTTTGAAATCGTCTTCCAATACATTTGAGTTTTCATGACTTATTCTAATGCCTACATAAGTACTAATTTTGCCTATCAGTTTAATCTTTTCTACCCCATTGAAAGAGTCAATCTTTCCTTAAAATCTGCCTCCATTCCTGAGGATTGGAAGGTAGCTAATGTCACTCCCATCTTTAAAAAGGGTTCCAGAGGAGATCCGGGAAATTACAGGCCAGTCAGTCTGACGTCGATACCGGGTAAATTGGTGGAAACCATTATTAAGGAAAGAATTAGTAGGCACAT